CATATGATATATTACACCAGAGATGAAAAGCTGAGGAAAAATGTGGTTGCCATTCATAGTTTAAAAAGTAATTTCTAGATCCATCTTGAAGTACAATATTGTGAGTCACAGGATAATATCCATATGCATACAAGGAAGTCTGGTGAATACCACTATCATATATGTACCAACAACCAGAGCCAAAGAAGAGGAAATAGAAGATTTCTACTAACTTTTACAGTCGGAGATTGATCGAACATGCAATCAAGATGCATTGATAATAACGGGTGACTAGAATGCAAAAGTTGGGAACAGAAGAAGAATCAGTGGTTGGAAAACATGGACTTGGTGACAGAAATGAAGCTGGAGATAGAATGATCGAATTTTGTACAATCAATGACTTATTCATTACAAATATGTTTTTTAAGAGACATAAACGCAGGTTATACACATGCATTTCACCTGATGATATGCATAGGAATCAGATTGATTACATCTGCGGAAAGAACTGCTGGAGAAGCTCAATATCAGCCATGAAAACTAGGCCAGGAACTGATTGTGGAACAGCCCACCAACTATATGCAAGTTCATATGCAGGAAGGGGAGGCAAAGAAATTTCTAGATTATGTATCTAATTAATATGAGAATGGTGGTAGTCAGTATTAGCTTCTTACTGTCACGTTGTCATCAACCTTAAGCGAACACAATATCATATTTTTGGTACAAAATGGGGCGGGGGGTGGGGTGGGGGGGAGGTGAGATGGGCGGGGAGAAGGGTGCAACAATGAATGAATGGAATCCCAAAATCTCTGTAGATGTTCATTGAAATGAAAAATAAACAGCCTAAAAAAAAAAAAAAAAAAAAAGACTCTTGCTCCCAGGGTGGTTCAGTGAAAAGCAAAACCGAGGCCCCGCAGGGTAACCAGATGGGGAAATCCACCTCCTATAGAGGGAAAGCGGCTTCTATTGGCTGCCTCCCAAGGAAGGCGGTGTTTTGGTTTCAGTTACCGTAAAACTCTGGATTTTAGCCAAATGTTTTGAGAGTTCAAAAGTACAAATCCCTTTAAGAGGCTTACTCTTTTTAAATATTTTTTCAGGGGTTAAAAATTAAATTTCTAAAGAATACCTGAGGTGGAGATGTTCCTCGGTCCAGACACCAGCGCTGCCTGCCTCCAACATGAAGCTGGTTCCTGCTGTTCTGTTACTTTCCTGCTGCTGCTTAAGTTGTTGTAAGGTAAGTCATTCCATTTTTAGGCGAATCATTTAAGTAGGTATATTAAATACTAAAATTATTCTCAGTTATTTTAAAAGCTGGAAGTTTTTTTAACTGAAGTATTACATTGTTGCCTTAGCAGTAATAGTGGCATTATTAGTAACACTTTATTAATATCTTGATAAAAGAATTTTAAGAAAAAAACATTTATATTCTTGTGTGCATATAGATATTAAACTGAACAAGAATTTTGTTAATATAGATCTATAATTTACAGACGCAAGTAAGTATTTATTGTTGTTAGGTTCCACCAAGTCTCCTGCAACTCATAATGACCCTATGGACAGCAGAGCTGAAGACTGCCCCAACCGGAGCCAGTCTCACTGACTCCGACACACCTACCCTCCATTGCCCCAGTCACTGTATCAACCCATTTCATCCAAGGTCTTTCTCTCCTGTGCTTTCCCTCAACCCTTCTAAGTACGATGTACTTCAAGGATCTATCTCTACTGGCCATGTACCTGAAGTGTGTGAGATAGAGCTTCAAAATCCTAGCCTCTAAGGAGAAACTTGATTTCATCCTCTCCAAGACAGACCTGTTTGTTTTCTTGGCGATTCCATGGTATGTTCAAGACTCTTCTCCAGCACCACAACTCAAAGACGTCAATTCTTCGTCTATCATTCTTAGTCATTGTCCAGCTTTCTGATGTATAGCAAGTAATTGCAAAGACCATGGCCTAGATCAGGTGCACCTTAGTCTCTAGACAGACATTGTTGCTTCTTCAGTACTCTAGAGAGGTTCCTGATAGCAGATTTTCCTAATGCAATTTGTCTTTTCATTTCCTGATTGCTGGTGCCAAGAGTGTTGATTGTGGAGCTGAGCAAATATTTATTAAGCTCCTAGTAAGTGCAAGTAATTACAATGCTGGGTTGACAGAAGAAGAATTGATGCCTTTGATTTGTGTTGAAAAAGAATACTGAATATCCCAGGCACTTCCAAGAGAACAAACAGGTTTTCCCTTGAGATAGTTAAACTGAGCTCCTCCTTTGAGGCAAGGATTTTGAATCTCCATCTCACATACTTTGGGCACATGGCCAGGAGGGACCAGTCCCTGAGAGGGACAGTGCAGGAGAGGACGACCCTGGAGGAGATGGATTGACACAGTAACTGGGGCAATGGGGATAGGTGTGTTGGAAATAGTGACACTGTCTCAACGTAAGACAGACTTCAGAGATATTGTATTGATCACTATGAGGCTACCAGTCACAGGCAACTGGTTGGCACAAAACAACAATGTCATTATGTGCAAAGGATAAAATAAAACAAACCATCATGTCAGTTCTCTTAGCGAACCTGTAGAACAGAGTCCAATTGCTATAGGGTATCCAAACCTGTAAAGCTTTATGGAAATAGATTATCTCACCTTTCTCCCACCAAGTGCCTGATGGGTTTAAAGCACAGACCTTTTGGTTAGCAGTTGAAATCTTTAGCCACTTCGTTAGCCATCTTAAATAATAAGACTACTCTTTTCCTTTTTAGTATAGTTGCAGAAAGATCTTATAAATGGGCCAATGGCAAAATAGTAAGCAAGATTTAAAAGACAGTTGAAACACAGAAGAAGAAATGACAGCAAAAATATCATTTCACTGCCCAAAATATGGCATTATTGGAGGACATTGAGAAAAGCACAAAACAGTTGATCTATGAAGTTAGGAAAGCTTATGGATAAAGTAACATTTGATCTGGGCCTTTATATCTCATGTAAGATACCTTGTCTTTGAAGCCAGGAAAAGCAGCAAATGTTACAGGAGGAAGGCAGCAAAACCTCAAGCTCCTTTATTTAATAGATCCATTTGATTGGAAATAAAGCTTCGTGGGCAACACGGAAAATGAAGACAGACATGACAGGTTGGAAGGTCTTCTATTATGGTTCAAAATGTTCACATCTTTATAACTTAATGCTGATTGTATCCTTTTGTGTTCAAAACCTTCCAACTACACAAAAAGTCTCAAGAGATGTTGGAGATGAAGTGGAGTATTACACACACTTAGTGCTAAGATTTAAACCAATTGCATCGCTATCCTAAAGAATAAGATTACATTGGGAGCAGAAGTTACTGAGAAAATTTATCCTGTACTGAAATAAAAAGCATTAAAAAATTGTATTTGATAAATAACATTGATGGAAATCTACCTAGTGTAAAGATTTTATTTAAATATATAATTATTACCTAAATTTCACTTACCAAATGGTCATGGGAGAAAAAGTAAAGTTTTTAAAAGAATGTAAGAATAAATAAACTTGAGTTAGTACAAATAATAGCCATCATAAGAAAGATTGTTCAGCCTTGCTAGCAATTTAAAAAAAATCAACTAAGGTTCCTCTGCACAATTATTAAACTAGGGAAAAATACTATTGTTATTGGTTCTCTAAATAAATTTTACTTTTTTAGTAATTTTTAATTAATTTTAATGAAAATTTACAGAGACTTTGGATTTCCCTTCATTCATAGTTGCACTTTTCTCCCTGCCCACCCCTCCCCCCCAGTACACTCTTCTCTTTGAGAAGTAAAATAAAAGTTCCCCCATTGTTTTACAATCCCTTCCCCCAGGTCCACTCCACTATGCAGCCTTTGTTCTGGAGTCTTGTCATGATAATAATACCTAATCCCATATCCCTTTTAAACAGTTTTCTCCCTCATCTGTTTCAACGCAGTATACATAGTTTATCCCATCTTTCTTAGTCTCCTCCCCCAACCCCAATGTCAGTCCTGTTTTATAATAGTGGCATTATGCAGTATTTGTCCCTTTGTGACTGAGAGATTTCACTCCGCATAATGTTCTCCAGGACCCATTTTGAATAATATTGCATGAGTTCCTTGTTTTTCAATGCAGCATAGTATTCCATCATGTGAATATACCACAGCTTCTTTATCCATTCGTTTGTTGATGGGCACTTAGGTTGTTTTCAACTCCTTGCTATTGTGAACAAAGCCATGATAAACATGGGTGTGCATATATCTGCTTGGATGACAGTTATGGTCTCCTTGGGGTATATTCCCAGTAGTGGAATTGCTGGGTCAAATGGTATTTCTATTTGCAACTTTTTGAGAAAGCGCCATATCGGCTTCCACAGTGGTTGCACCATTTTACACTCCCACCAACAGTGAATAAGGGTTCCAGTTTCTCCACAACCTCGCCAGCATTTGTTGCTCTGTTCTGTTAAATTTTTTTATTCTTACTGGGGTGAGATGTTATCTCATAGTTGTTTTGATAAATTTTACTTTCATGAACCACAATTTGCCAAATCTGGCAAGGACTATAAAAATAACTATTGGCCAGGTGGTTTGAGATTTTCCCCCCAAGTACAAGTGCCTGATTCAAGCCATAATACTTTCATTTGCTTTGTATGAATGGAAAAGTTGGACAATGAATAAGGAAGACCAAAGAAGAATTGATATTTCTGAGTTGTGGTATTGGCAAAGAGTAGTGAATAATGCCATGGACAGCCAAAAGAAATAGATATGCCTTGGAGGAAGTACAATCAGTATTTTGTACTGGTTGTAAAAATACAAATGTATTTTTGGCAGTTAGAGGCCTGGATGGTGAAGCTTTCTGTCACATACTTTGGGCATATTGTCAGGAGGGACTAGCCCTTAACAACAACAACAACAAAAACAACACAACCACCCAAAAAAAACAAAAGAAAGAAAAGCAAACTTCATGCTGGGGAAAAACAGGATCATCAAAAGAGAGGAAGACTCTCAACAAGGTGTATTGACACAACGAATGCAACATGTATCGAGCATGGATGGTGAGGATGAGCAAGTAGGGCACAGTTGTAATCTGTTGTTCATAAGGTAACTGTAAGTCAAAGGCAATTGAGATTATTCACAACTTCAGTTTGCTTGGCTCCACAGTCAACACTCTTGGCACCAGCAGCCAGGGAACTAAAAGACGTATTGCAATGGGAAAGTCTGCTGTTAGGGACCTCTCCAAAGTACCAAAGAGCAATGGTGTCACTCTGGAGACTAAGGTGTGCCTGATACAGGTCATGGTCTTTGCAATCACTTGTTATGCATCAGAGAGCTGGAAAATGACTAGGGAGGATTGAAGAAGAATTGATGCCTTTGAGCTGTGGGGCTGGAGAAGAGTATTGAGAGTACCATGGACTGCTAAGAAGACAAACAGATTCATCCTTGAGAGGGTTAAACCAGGCTGCTCCTTGGAAGCAAGGATTCAGGCAAGGATTCTGAGGCTTCATCTGACATACTTTGGACATGTTGTAAGGAGGGACCAGTCCTTGGAGAGGGACATCATGCTTGCGAGGGTGGAGGGACAGCATAAGAGGGGAAGACCCTCTATGAGGTGGATTGATTCAGTGACTGGGGTAATCGGGATGGGTGTGTCAGAGGCAATGCGATTGGCACAGGATAGAGCAGGGTTTAGGGCTGTTGTACATAGGGTCGCTATGAGTCGCAAGCGACTCAATGGCACATAATAACAACAACACCATCAACAACAACATCACTGATTCATAGATGATTGTAGAATACAATTAGTGATTTAAAGACAAACATAGGTATTACTCGGGGCAAAACCAACAGCCAAAGCCTGATGTTCTCATTTGCGTAGGTTCCTCGTGCTCTGCAAGTCCCATGGGGGCACTGCATAGATCTCATGATAGGTGACTGTGTGTGCAGTGGCTTGTGAGACAGGAGAAGCAGCCGGTCCTGAAACCTGCCACTTCTATATTACATAGAAGCAAGACTACTCTTTGTCCAGTGTCACATGCTACTTCTTTCCTGAAGTTGTTCACTTCAAACAAAGTAATCAAGGCCAGCGAGGATCCTCTAGCCCAGCAATTCTATTTCATAAAAGTAAAGGAGATAGAGAGATGGAGATAGCGATAGAGAGATAGAGACAGAGAGAGAGAGAGAGATTCACCGACTTACATAGCAGCACTTCTATAATTTGTTATTTTATAATTATTAACTCAACTCAACTCTCCAGCAGGTTTTCAGAGGTTGTAAATCACATGAGAGAAGACCCCTTACCTTTCTCCCTAGGAGTAGCTGGTGGATTTGAACCAAGTGCGTTTGAACCCAGCAACACAGCTAGCTCCTTAATATCCTCAGAAAAATGCAAGAAAATGTCCTTATTATGTCCATGACAAAAATAGTTTTAGATTATGATAATAGATCATATGGAAGTAAACCTTAAAGGGAGTTAAGTTTCAACGGAGCCCAATGCCATCTTTTCAGAAGACACTGAGGTTTCTTCCAGTGTCCCCTCCACGATCACTAAGCTAATTACTGGCAGGCATGGGACTAGAAGGAAGAGTTAGAGAACTGAGGCCTCTGGAATCTATCATGACCATCATTACATTAGGATTCACACAGGATCTTAAATGTTTCTATGTGCTCACCCGCATTTGGATGTGCTCATATTGTGCTGGCATTTGTGCTTATATTATGTTTGTATTTCATTTGAGCCTCACAAGAGCTCCGTGAGAGCATTGTTTCTATTTTCTACATTTTATTGGTGAAGAAACAAGATCAGAAAAGTCAAATCCTCTTTCTCAACATAACGCATCTAGTAAGCAGTAGAGGGAAGAGCTTCTGACAATGCCAAGAAGGGAAGAGTGGTGGATCCATCCTCCTCTTAGTCCTAACGGGTCATCTTTTCTCCTTTTGTTTACAGGCCAGAGTTGAAACAAGACAACAAAGTAAAAAGACAACCACAAGAGATCCTGAGGTAAATCCAGAGGTGAAACCTGATAGGGTCACTAGGTTTAAAGTAGAAGATGGTTTTGTTTCTTTTTTGTTTTCCAATGAAGACTATCAGTTACTATCTAGCAAAAATATTTTCATGTCTATAAGTAAAAGGCAAGCTTAAATCAAAATAATTGCTGCTGTTGTTGTTAGGTTCTGAGACAGTTCCAACTCAAAGGAGTCTTAGGAAGAGCAGAGTGAAGCACTCACTGCCTGGCCCTGAGGCCTTGATGACAGCGACTGTGTCAATCTGTTTCATTGAGGGTCTTGCCCTCTTTTTGCTGCCCTCTCCCTTATCTAGCATAATGTCCTTCTTTAGTGTACAAACAACATGGGCATTGGAAGAGGAGAGCAGTCAATGGTATCTGACCTCTTGGAACTTCAGAAGGGAAGACAGTCTTCATCATCAGCAATAGCCCAAAGCATCTTCCTAATGTGGTCAGGCATGCTCACCGCACTCCACACTATAAATTTTTTCTACCAATTCTGACACCCGCTGTGCCTCCCATGGCACTCACTGCTCCTCTGTGGGTTCCAGAACTTACTACAATGGCTACACACAAGCACTGACAGACAATAGTCATAATTATTGGGTATATTAAGGAAGTTTGTCAGGTTTCTCAGAATCAGGAATACTCAGGAGACAATTATTAAATCAGCACAGCTTTTTTCCCAGCCATGCTTTCTTGGCTTTTCTTTTGTAATGGTAGCAAGATTTCCATTTTCTGCCTCTGGGATGACTCCTTTTAAGCCAAATAAGATGGCAAAACTGAGCAATCTGAACATTAATATTGTATGTGTATAGTTTGCCTGTGACTGTACCAAAGACTTGAGCATGGAAGAGAGCATGAGGATGGCATTGGACAGGACAGGGTTTCAATCTGTTGTTTACAGGTTGCTGTGAGTTTTAGTCGACTTGACAGGCACTAACAACAACATTTACATGTTCCTACTGCAAATATCAACAATCTGTGTTAATGCAGATGACACAACCCTGCTCACTGAAACTGAAGAGGACCTGAAGCACCTGCTGCAGAGGGTCAAGGACTGCAGCCTCCAATATGGATTGAGGCTCAATGTCAAGAAGACAAAGATTCTCACCACTGGACCAATTGGAAGCATCAGGATGGATGGGGAAGAGATTGAGATTGTTCACAGCTTTCGTTTGCTTGGCTCCACAGTCAACACTCTTGGCACCAGTAGCCAGGAAATTAAAAGGCGCATTGTCATGGGAAAGTCTGCTGTTAGGGACCTCTCCAAAGTACTGAAGAGCAATGGTGTCTCTCTGGAGACTAAGGTACATCTGATACAGGCCATGGTCTTCACAATCACTTGTTATGCATCAGAGAGTTGGACAATGACCAAGGAGGATAGAAGGAGAATTGATGCCTTTGAGCTGTGGTGCTGGAGAAGAGTACTGAGAATACCATGGACTGCTAGGAAAACAAACAGATTTGTCCTGGAAAGGGTTAAACCAGGTGGCTCCTTGGAGGCAAGGATTCTGAGGCTCCATCTAACATACTTTGGACATGTTGTGAGGAGAGACCGGTCCTTGGAGAGGGACATCATGCTTGGGAGGGTGGAGGGACAGCGCAGGAGAGGAAGGCCCTCTATGAGGTGGATTGATTCAGTGACTGGGATAATCGGGATGGGAGTGTCAGAGACAGTGCGATTGGCACAGGACAGAGCAGAGTTTAGGGCTGTTGTACGTAGGATCGCCTATGAGTCGCAAGCGATTCGATGGCACATAACAACAACAACAACAATAAAACAACTCCCAATAAAACTGAAAATTGCACTAAAGCTGCAAGAAGCCAAAATGAGAAGAGCTGAGAAGGAAAGTATTATAGCAGAATGTTCAAAGAGCTGGAGTCAGAGAAAAAAAGGGGAAGAAATTACTTGGCATTTCTCAAATGGAAGGAACATTAAAAACAAATTCAAGTACTACAAAGTACTAAAGAGCAATGATATAGTTTGAAGACTAAGGTGAACCTGATTTAGGTCATCATCTTTTAAATAATTTGCTATATATCTGAGAGCTGGACAATGAATAAGGATGACAGAAGAATAATCAATGTTTTTTGAGTTGTAATGTTGGAGAAAAGTAATGAATATCCCATGTACTGCCAAAATTGAACAAACGGATATTTCTTGGAGAAAGTGCAACCAGAATGTTTCTTAGAGGCAAGGATGGTGAAGCTTTGTCTCACATACTCTAGACATGTTCTTAGAAGGGGCTATTGCTTGGAAAAAGGCCATCATGCTTGGGACGTAGAGGGTCAACCAAAGTGAAAAAGATACTCAATGAGATGGATTTACACAGTGACTGTCACAGTGGGCTCATTATAGCAGGGATGATGAAGATAGATGGTGCGGGATAGGGCAGCGTTCAGATCTGTGGTCGGTACAGTCACTATGATTCATACTCAACTCAATGATGTAACAACCCCAAAGTTTCCATTTACCTTATTTACATTAATAGTTGTTGACATGCCCAAAATGTGTGAAATGAAGCTTTAACAACTTCCCTCCAGGGAGCACTGTGCCTACACCTTTTCCAAGCCATGTCTGTTCATGCTTTTGGCAGTCCATAGAATATTCAGTGCTTTTCTCCAACACCACAGCTCAAAGTCATTTCTTAGGCTGCCATCCTTATTCATTGTCCAGTTCTCAGATGCACAGAAAGTGATGGCAGACAGTGGCCTGAATCAATAGTAAGTTATCTGACTTCCTGGATGGATTACAAGCATGTCACAGTTTCAAAGCACTATGTAACCATATGGTAAGAGTTACAAAGACCGTGGCTAGAAAGTCATATCAAGGAATTTATTACATTATATCCAAGGACTAGCACTGTTATCCAAAGTGTGTGAGACAAAGTCTCACCATTTTCACTTCTAAGAGGCAATCTGGCTGTAATTCATCCAGATTTAATTTAGACAGCTTTGTTTGCTCTTTTGGTAGTCCATGATATAGTCAATATTGCCCACCTCTACCATAATTCAAAGGCATCAGTTCTTTTGTAATCTTCCTCACGCATTGTCCAGCTTTTGCATGATACACAAGTACCATGGCTGTGTCAGGTACCTTAGTCCTTAAAGTGATATCTTTGCTTCTTAACACTTATTTTTCTCTTTATTTTCTTTTTTCTTTAATCAGTTGTTGCTCCTTTTCCCCTCCATCATACATTAAAGATGTCCTTGACAAAAGAATTACCAAATGTATTAAGTTGTATGATTTTTTTTTTACTATTGCTTCTATGGGCACTGATTGTGAATCCAAGTAAAATGAACACTGAAATTAAATAACTGTTACATAATTGCAAGGATCAAGAGAAATTTAATAACTCTATGTTCATAAAGCAGTAGCAGCAGCATCTAAAAAAGGTGGGATCACACTTTATAGATGATTGGGCTCTGGTAGTAAATACTTAACATTTTTTTAGCACACTGTTTATACCTTAAAAAAAATCTTTTTCATCTCATTTGAATGTGCTTAAAGAAGAAGCAGAAGTAAAAACTAAAATCTGTGCTAAGTCTCTTAAAACCATAAAAACAATCATGCTTCCATAAACTTAGCCTATACTTCTTTTCCTTTGTCACATTCTTTTCAGACCTCCACTTACCAAGGTCTGGTTTCTCAGCTAAAGCTTCCTCAAAGGGGCCTAGTAATCTTCAGTCATTAGACTTGGTAACCTTTTATTTTCTGCCTTCATCCTAAACTCCAACACTGGTCACCTGAGCAGCACTCTACTTACTAGAAAATGATGTCCTTTTTGTCTCTGCCATTTCTTCTTTCCTTTTAAACATGCATTGTTCTATCTTTGCTATTCTTTTCTCACTATTTAGTAACTTCCAGACACTTTGCCAGGTGTGGGGACACAAAGGTAAACAAAATGTTCACAAAGATATGGAAAACTTTATTCTTCCTTCTTAGTTTTGACTAAAATCTAAAAGGTCAAGAACAGAGCAACCAGCAGTATGTGTTCCAACAGGAACTACGCAGCATGTGACACTAGCAAAAGTGGTCCTAACCGGAAGGTGGAAAAGGGATGAAAGTGAAGAAACTGGGACTATCTTGAGAAAGCTTTTGGCAGTGAAAGGGGCATTTTCTCTTCTTCCCCTACCCCCTTCATGCCCAGCAATGAGGAAGGAACAAGTGGCGCTGCTACTTTTCTTCAAACATTCTGAAACCAGTGACTTAAATAGATACTTGCACCCCAGTGCTCATTACAGCAGCACTATTCACAATAGCTAGAAGAAGGAAACACTCCAACTCTCATCAACAGATAAATAAAGAAACAAAGCATGCAGTATACAAAGAAAGGTATATTTTTCTTTCATGAAAAGAAATGAAGTCCTAATACATCCTATGGCATAGAGGAACCGTGACAACAGTATGCTAAGTGAATAAGCTAGATGTAGAAAGAGAATTATTATATAATAACATCTCTATGAGATATCTAGAATAGACAAAATCATGGATACAGAAAGTGAATCGGTGTTCACCATGGGCTAGGGGAGGGGTAGAGGAAGTTATTGCTAAATAGGTACAGAGTTTCTGTTTGAGGTGATGAAAATGTTTTGGAGACAAGCAGTGGTGATGATTGCATAACAGTGTGAATGTGATTAATGCTCCTGAATTCTGCATTTGAAAATGGTTAAATTGGCACATTTTTTATTTTATGTGGAATTTACTAATTTTTCTAAAGGCAGTGACAATTTAAAAAAGTCACTTTATTGAATGGCCAATTTGTCACGTTTCCTTATTTACTTAGCTATGTAGAAAGTTTACTGAGAAGCATACTAGGACAGCTCTTTCAAATGTTTACATGATTTTAATTGGCTGGATTTCGTTTGCGATTGTAGCAGCCATTTAAAGATTGTTTCATCAGTCTCCACCCCACTTTGCTGTTGCTGCAACTGGAGGTTACCAAGAAAAAAAAAATGGGACCTCCTGCAGGACACTGGGGGACAGACGCCTCAGCCGGTGGCACTGCCTGAGCTGCCTGTCCACCAGAAAGGGTCGCTAATGAACAAGAAGAGGTCCTCTCGCGACAGACGAGGCCTCTTCTAGCCTCGTCATAACCCCTCTGGATTCTCTTGTCTGATCTGTCGTCCCAGCAGCTTTCAGAGAGCGCTTCTAAAACACTCTAGTACTTCCTTCTTTAAAGTCCTTCAATGATCCCTCATGATCTGTTCTCCCTTTGCTTTCCCACTTCATCCCCCACAGTTCTGTCATTTTATAATTTCCATCTACAGACCCCTTGTTATCGCCCTCAAAATGCAACCCAGATGTCCCAAATGCCCAGCTTTTTCAAACTGCTATGCCACACTATCATTTCTAACATCAACCACTCTCTTTCCCTCAATACTCCCATCTTTGAAATTAGTAATTCACTTCTAGAACTCATCAATCATACTTATAGTTAAGTTGCTTATTAGCAAAGTAACAGGGCAGACCTTGACAGTGGAGTCCACTTTGAAACAGCAGGAACAACTCAGGGCACAGTTCTTGGATCCAGATATCTTCTTCTCCTTCTCTACTGCTGGTCATTGCCTAGGGCTTTCTCCAGTAAGTTTGCAATTCATAGCTCCATGAGTTAGCAAGCCCCAGTGCAACTACTGTCACAGGCTCATTTTCCCAATTCTATATTTAATCCTAAACCTTGGTTAGGGTTCTATATACCTTATTTGCATAATCTCTCTCTTATAAGGGTGACGTGCATCTTATTTACTTCATTTTCATGCTATTCAATCCCCTTTGTGGATCACAATACCAAATAACCATTCTGGTGATCCAGTGGTAAGGAAATATGCTGTCAACCCAAAGGCACACAGTTGAATCCACCAGCTGCTCCAGGGGAGAAAGATGGGCAATGTCTCCTGTGCCTCTGAAAACCCTATGCAGGGTGACCTAGGAGTGGGTCCTGACTTTATGGTTGTTGTTTTTGTTGTTATGTGCCGTCGAGTCGCTTGCGACTCATAGCGACCCTATGTACAACAGCCCTAAACCCTGCTCTATCCTGTGCCAATCGCATTGCCTCTGACACACCCACCCCGATTACCCCAGTCACTAAATCAATCCACATCATAGAGGGTCTTAACCTCCTGTGCTGTCCCTCTACCCTCCCAAGCATGATGTCCCTCTCCAAGGACCTGTCTCTCCTTGCAACATGTCCAAAGTATGTCAGACGAAGCCCCAGAATCTTTGCCTCCAAGGAGCAGCCTGGTTTAACCCTCTCTAGGATGAATCTGTTTGTTTTCTTGGCAGTCCATGGTACATTCAATACTCTTCTCCAGCACCACAGCTCAAAGGCATCAATTCTCCTTCTGTCCTCCCTAGTCATTGTCCAGCTCTCTGATGCATAACAAGTGATTGCAAAGACCATGGCCTGTATCAGGCACAACTTGTCTCCAAAGAGACACCATTGCTCTTGAGTACTTTAGAGAGGTCCCTAACCGCAGACTTTTCCATCGCAATACGTTTTTTGATTTCTTGACTGCTGGTACCAAGAGTGTTAACTGTGGAGCCGAGCAAACTGAAGCTGTGAACAATTTCAATCTCTTCGCCATCCATCCTGATGCTACCAATTGGTCCAGTGGTGAGAATTTTTGTCTTCTTGACATTGAGCCTCAGTCCATACTGAAGGCTGCAGTCCTTGACCCTCTGCAGTAAGTGCATGAGGTCCTCCTCAGTTTCAGTGAGCAAGGTTGTGTCATCTGCATAACGCAGATTGTTGATAGATCTTCCACCAATTCTAACGCCGCGCGTCTCCTCATAGAGCCCAGTCTCTTGGATAATCTGCTCTGCCTACAGGTTGAAAAGGTATGGAGATAGGACACATCCCTGGCGTACACCCTTCCCAATTTTGAACCATGCAGTGTTGCCCTGCTCTGTTCTGATGACTGCCTCTTGGTCCAAGTATAGGTTTCGCATTAGCACGATCAAGTGTTCTGGGACTCCCATTCTTCTCAGAGTCAGCCACAGTTTGTTATGATCCACACAGTCAAATGCCTTTGCATAATCAATGAAACACAGACAGACCTTCTTCTGGTATTCTCTGCTTTCAGCTAAGATCCATCTAACATCGGCTACAATATCCCTAGTACCACGACCCCATCTAAACCCAGCTTGGGCTTCTGGCAGTTCTCTGCTGATGGACTTTACGGTACATTACAATAACAACAGTCATTTGGTGAGAGTTACAAAGACCATGGCTAAAAGGGCCACAGTAAATGAGTCATCACACCACAACTATCATAAAACTTAGGTAAACGTCTTTCTGGTATTCTGTGATGCTGGCCAAGATCTATTTATCATCAACAATGATATCACTTGCTCCATATCCTCTTCTGCTCCAGCTTGAATTTATGACAGTTCCTGTTGATGGACTGCTGGAATAATTTTTTGTAGTTATCTTGAGCAAAATTTTACTTACATGTGATATTAATGATATTATTTAATAAAATACATGTTGTAATTCCTTTCTTTGGGATGTGCACAAATATAGATTTCTTCCAATCAGTTATCTCCCAAATTTCTTGACATAGACTAGTGAGTGCTTCCAGCATTAATTGGAATGCTATTAATTCCTGGAACTTTGGGATTTGTTTTGTTTTATTGTCCAATGCTTTCAATGCAATTTGAACTTATTCTTCAATGCCATTAATCTTGATCATGAAGTACCTCTCAAACATTAACCAATTCTTGGAGCTCTGGTGGCCTAGTGGCAAGACGCTGCATTGCAATCCCAGAGGTACACAGTTGAAATCCACCAGATGCTCTGCTGGAGAAGGAGGGAGCAATCTCCTCCTGTACCAGTCGGATCTGATTTGACGGTACACGTAAAAATAATACAATAAAAATTTAAAAAGAAAACGAACATTAACCAATTCTTTTTGATACAGTGATTCTGCATTCCTTCCATATTCTTGTTTTGTTTTGCTTCGATTTTGGTTTTGTTGTTAGCCCTCCATATCTCCTGAATATCCCCTGGGCTGCTAAAAGAGCAAACAAATAAGTCTTGTAGAAAATTCAGCCAAGTTGTTTCTTAGAGGCAAGGATGATGAGCCTTCATCTCACCTGCTCTGGGCATGTTATCAGGAGGGGCCCAACCCTGGGAAACTACTTCATTCGGAAGAAAGGAAGACCCTCAACAAGAGAGATTGACACAGCGACTGTAACAGTGGGTTCAGGTACAGCAGAGATGGTGAGGGTGGCAAAGCACAGGGCAGGGTTCAAATCTGATGTTCAAAAGTTTGTTACAGGTCATAGTCAATGCAATGGCACCTAACAATGACGCATCTCCAGGATGTTAATATTGTTATCCTCACTTTATTTCTTTTTCATTTTTCTTATTTTGACTTGGGATAATAATCACTCCATTGAATTTATGCTTAGTATCTGCCAACCATTATATATATATATATATATATATATATATATATATATAAAATTGCTAATCCTTACAATAACATTAGGAAATAAGTGATGGGGGTTTCAATCATAGTATTTTTCAACGGCTTATTCCTAAGACTTTGTTACTAAGATAATGTTTATTTTGTGTTTGACAGCACACTTTAACATCAGATACACCTCAAGAGGATATCATAGATAAAAAGTGCTTAACAGAAAAATACACTCATCTCTCCTGCGAAAAAGTCTTCTGCCAACCATGGCAGAAATGCATCGATAGGACCTGTACTTGTAAGCTTCCTTATCAGTGCCCAAAGAATGGTACATCGGTATGTTCAGCTAATGGGAGAAGCTACCCAACTTACTGCCAGCAAAAGAGTATCGAGTGTCTTCAATCACAGGCAAAGTTTTCAAATAGAGGAAAATGCACAGCTGGAGGTAGGAAAAGTCCCATTTTCAAATCCAAGTTATTTTATAGAAAAGGCAATCATCAGTCATTCTTGCTCTTAGAAAGTGCATTTCCTATGAAGATGACTCAGAGTTCTTCTCTTGGTTCTTCATAGTAATTAAGAGGATGACTAACACATAAGAGTTACAGGCAATGCAGCTCTTGAGTCTAGAGCAGGTTCTCCTAACACCAGGCCTCCATTTGAAGTTAGCACCACGTTCTCTCCAGCCTTCAGAATTGCCTGCATTCTTGCATCTGCTTGGCTAATGAAACTTATCAGAACTTTGAGAGGCCATTAAAACCTCAACAACAATAAAGAAGTCTTTAAATGAATTATTTAAATGATGCATAGGTTTGGTACACTGTTAGGCACTGTACTGATGTGTAACATTGTCAACCCCTGTTTGACATCTGTCTCCCATAATTTTGTCCTGGTCCATCCTTCCATCACCTTCTGGTCCTTTCCATCTCACTCCATTTGCCTTGATTATTCATGTGGTGTTTGGGCCACTGGAGATTTTCACATACTCCATCCAACCTTGTAAACTTTCTCTTAAATACCAGAGAGCTTGGCTACAGTCTACCCAGGTGTCTAATTTATGAGGAGACTGGGACTGTCACATGTAGACTGGCAGAGCGGTTAATGTCACTGTCAGTCCCGTTTTATTTTAAACCACTCCAATCTCTACCTAGGTAAATGGCAAGCTGTATATGAGCTCTATGGGCCCCATTTCCCTCATCTGTAAAATATGAATAATGTTAGTTTCTAACCCATAAGGCTCTTGTTAAGTGAAATAAAAATGAGGCATGCTTTCTGGTGCACAAAAAGTGCTCATTAATTTCTAGCTGTGACTGCAAAACTCGGACTTATTGACTCCTGGTATCAGGCCTTCACAGACACAGTGAGTTTACATGATTATTATGAATGCAGGGAGCTCTGGTGGCCTAGTGGCAAGAAGTCACGCTGCAATCCTGGAGGCATGCAGTTCGAGACCACCAGTTCCTCCAAGGAAGAAGGATAGGGAGTCTCTTGTGCAATTAACTGCCTCTGAAAACTCGCCAGGGGGTCAGCTATGGGTCGGTTTCAACTCTATGGTACACAACAACAACAAAACAACATCATGAATGCTTATTGCATTCTTTCTAAATCACCATGACATACGCCAGCTCCCTTAGCTGGTGTCTTTTTTGTGATACCAAGTTAAGATGCTGAGGAACTGCATATGATGAGGAAGAAAGCTCCCTGTTAGAGAGGAAGAAGACAACAGTGGAGATTATTGTGTCAGTATCAGGTTTTTCTTCTCCTCAGCTAAATGCCTTAAATAAATCAGCTTGCATAAACTCTTTCTATATTTTCATTATTACTTGGTTGGCTTACTTTTCAGACCATGACTCTTAGAGTAAGATTAACATATCAAACCCAATTGCTGTAGTCAGCTTTCACTCTGGTGACCTCAGAGTATCAAACAGAACTGGTTTCCACTGGCATTTCAATGGTTGATTTTTCACAAGTGCATCACCAGGCCTTTCCTGTAAGATGTATCTGAGTAGACTTCAACCTCCAACCTCTCACTTAGCAACCAGCTGTATTAGAACCACTTCCATTACCTAGGAACATGTAAGATTCATCGTGGTAATGTTGCTTGATAAAGTCAGCTCCAGCTCGTGGAGGTCCATGTACAATAGAATAAGGTGAAAGTGATTGGGGAAGTTCGACTTTACCCTGGAAGGTCACTTCAACTATGAGTTGATGACAATGCCTAGAGGATGTATCAGATATTAAACTGATAGGAACAGATACTACACTTGATCTTAGCAGAAAGGCTGAGAAGTGATTGAGTTGATGACAATGGGTTTCGTATTTTGGAATTTAGCATCGAGTTTCCAGCACTACGCACTTTTTTCTGCCTTCCGCACACACAGTAGCTGGTGGGTTGAAATCATTGATCCTTTGATTAGTAACTAAGGCATTAACTACTGTGTCACCAGGGCTCCTTCCAGACTGACAGAGCAAGTTAAAATTCCTTGCTTTACCGTTTGAGACAGCAGTGTAGTGTTTTAGTTTTTCATGTGAAAAGTAGGGATAAAATAAGCTTAATCTCACCTTCATAGGGTGATTGTGGAGATTTTATGGTTATCATGGGTTGAATTATATTCCCTCAAAATGTGTGCTTGCTTGACTAGGCCCTGGCTCCCAGCTTTAGCAGTTGCCCTCCATTTTGGAATATTAAGTAATTATCCCCTATTTTGTGCTGTACATTTTAACCTGTATATTAATGAGGCAGGTTTAGTGGAAGTGAATCTTTAGTCATCACTCTTACTCAAATAAGCCATATCTTTTACTTAACAAAAGATAAAAGGAGACAGAAATGAGCTCAGAGGGGAGAGACTTGACCATCACCAAGAAAGAAGAGTTGGTGGTTCATTGGGACAATCATTTAGATCTGTGGTCCCTGTTCTGAGAATCTCCTACATCCAGGGGAAGATACATGGAGATCCCTAAGGAATAGCAGGCCCACAAATGGTGAAAAGAGAGAGAAACTTCTCTAAGAACCAACTGAAAGAGAGCTGGTCCAATGAATTTGGGTTTCTTCCTAAACTATGAGAGAACAATATTCTGTTTGTTAAAGGCACCTACTTGTGGTATTTTTGTTTTAACAGCACTAGAGAGTCAACTGAGAGTCAACCATGAGTCAGTTCTACTGGACTACAATGAGTGAGAGAACTATGTGACTGGTGGCAGGCTCTCATAAAATTATGTTAAAATCTTCCTACTGTTCAAAGTTAATTTAACTTGTTTATTGTTGTTATGTGCTGTCAAGTCACCTGCAACACGTAGCAACCCTATGTACAGCAGCTCTGATGCCTGCCCTGTCCTGATCCAGTCTCACTGACTCTGACACACAAACCCCCATTGCCCCAGTTACTGTATCAAACCATCTTATCTGGGGTCTTCCTCTCCTGCTCTGTCCCTCCACCCTTCCAAGCATGATGTCCTTCTCCAAAGACCAGTCCCTCCTGGCCACAGGCCCAAAGTGTGTGAGGCAGTAATTTAACTTATGTTTTATTATTTCCAAGGTTTTTACTCAGAGAGAAATTGTGATTGCCTGACTATGTCCCTTTCTTTCGGTTTTTATTTTAGAGCAATTCACTGTTTCCTTGAAGAACGGAGACAAGGATTCAGAGGGAATTGTTGAAGTAAAACTTGTGGGCCAAGAAAAGGCCTTTATCTGTAATAACAGCTGGGGCATCACACAAGCCAATGTGGCTTGCCGTCACCTTGGATTTCAACAGTGAGTGCTTCTATCTGTGATGTATTTCTCCTGTTTTCTTTTTTTATCTAAGGCTTTTGCAAGAGAACTCTGGTGGCATAATCTGTAGGGAATTGTGCTGATACTACAAAGACTGCACATCTCTGGCAGTTCAAATCCACCAGTGGCTTCCAGGTAGAAAGATAAATAGCTTCCTCCCCTGCAGTCAATGGCCTTAGAAATCCAGTAGAGGGTCACCAGAGTTAGTGCCTATTTGACAGCTCTGAGTGAGTGAGTGGACCTCCTTATAAGAAGCCCTGGGGCACAGTGGTTAAGTGCTCTCTTGCTGTTAAGTTGACTGAACCTACCAGCTTCTTCCAGTCTGATTGCATATTTGGTAGTTCTGCTCCACCAGGAGCCCTGGTGGTATAGTGTGTCAGGCTGTTAACCAAAAGGTTAGTGGTTCAAAGCTACCAGTACACTCAACAGGAGAAAAATGGGCCATCTGCTTCCATAAAGATTTATAGATTCAAATACCTGATGGGTTATTTGAGTCCAACTCAGCTAGAAGGTAGAAGATTCTGTTTGGCTCCACAATCAGCAATCTTGGCGCCAGCCATCAGGAAATCAAAAGACGAATTGCTCTGGGGAAGTCTGCTGTCAAGGGACCTCTCCAGAGAGCTAAATAGCAATGATGTCAGTCCAGGCCATCGTCTTAGCAGTTACTTGCTATGCATTGAAGAGCTAGAAAATGACTAAGGATGATAGAAGAAAAAAACTGATGCCTTTGAGTTGTGGTGCTGGAGAAGAGTATTGAACATACCATGGACAGCCAACAGAACAAAAAGGTCTATCTTGGAGATGGTGAAACGAATGTCTCCTTGGAGACTAGGATTTTGAAGCGCTCACATACTTTGGGCATGTGACCAGGAGAGACCAGTCCTTGGAGAAGGACATGATTCTTGGAAGGAAGGAGGGACTGAGCAGGAGAGGAAGACCCTGGATGAGGTGGATTGACACTGTAACTTGGGTAATGGGTTTAAGTGTGTTGGAGTTAGTGTGATTAGTTCAGCATTGGCCAAGCTTCAGAGTTATTGTACATAGGGTCACTATGAGTCGCAGGCAACTCAATGGCACATAAATAACAACAGTAACATTAATTATGAATTATATATCTCAGTGTAATTCATTATAAAGTCTTATCAATGCCTTATTGTGTGTTGCCTTTTCCTTGGTCCAACATAACTGTTTATTTATTTTTACTTCCCTCTCCAACTCTTCCCACTCCAGATAATCATCCAAGAATGATTCTGTGTGTGAACCTTTTCTTAGCTTAGTGTTCTTATAGAACAATAATTTTTTTGTCACTGACTCTTACCATTCAGCACAATTTCCTCTAGATTCATCCATGTTGTGCAGTGATTACCCAACTATTTATCATTCCTTAGTGTTGCATAATACTCCTTTGTGTGAATTGTGAATATACCTTTGTTTCTTTATTTGTCCACAGATGGACACTTGGATTGTTTCCATTTTTTTTGCTCTTGTAAATAATGCTGCAGTAAACATGAGCATGCACATATCAGTTTGGTATGTTTGTATTAGTTTGTGTTGCAGCTCTTATTTCTTTGGGATATACACTTAGTAGGGAGAATGCTGGCTCAAATGGGATTTCTATTTCCAAGTTTCTGAGGAAGCACCAAACTGCTTTCTTAAATTCCTAGCCAGCAAGGTGTGAGAGTTCCAGTATCTCCCCACCTTCACCAGCATCTGTTGTTTGCTGCCTTGCTGGACCTCATTATGTTGCTGGGATGAGGTAATATCTCATTATTGTTTTGATTTGCATCACTACACTAGTCCCTTGTCAGATGTGCCATGGCCAAACACCCACTAATATTGAGCACTTCTTCAGGTACTTTCTGGTCATTTGAACATCTTGAGCAGTGTCTTTCCTTGCCCTCTGCTGATTTTGTAATTCAATTATTTGTCTCTCTCCACCCCCCCGTAGAGATGTTGGCATTTTCTGTAATTTTTAGAGGTGAGTGCCTTACCAACACTTGTTCAGACTGACTTTATGTTTATCAACTTCTTGTTTGAATGTTCCTTCTTGCATCTCACGCCTTCAATCTGGAGTAAATTTTCTTTTTCTTAATCTACATCCACTGTTGGTTTCAAAAAAAATCACTCATTAGCATGAGCCTCTTATTGTTAGATTGACCCATAAGATATTGCCAACATCTGACAGATTTTTATCTTTTATCTGTTGTTCAACCTAATGGTAAAATCTCGCAGCCTCTGCTCTCTCAGTATCTTGCTTGTATTTTACATCAATTTACATATTTACCACTCTCATTTTAGTCACTGTATCGAAAGGAATTGGAAGACACAGAAGAATTTCATAAAACAACATATGAGCAAGAGCCTATGGTGATGAAAGAAGAAGTTCAGGCTGCTTTGAAGGAAATGGCAAAAATAAGGCTCCAGGAATAGATGGTATACCAACTGACATATTTCAGTTAACAGATGCTGCCCTGGGCGTGCTCACCAAGTTGTGCCAAGAAATATGGAGAACAACCACTTGGCCAACTGACTGGAAGAGATCGATATTTGTTCCTATCCCAAAGAAAGGTGACCCAACAGAATGTGGAAACTACAGAACAATCTCACTGATTTCACATGCAAGCAAGATTTTACTGAAGATTATCCAAAAACGACTGGAACAGCACATCAACAGAGAACTACCAGAAGTCCAGGCTGGTTTCAGAAGGGGTCGTGGTACTAGAGATATTGTAGCTGATGTTAGATGGATCTTGGCTGAAAGCAGGGAATACCAGAGGAATGTCTATCTGTGTTTCATTGACTATGCAAAGGCATTTGACTGTGTGGATCATAACAAACTGTGGCTGACTCTGAGAAGAATGGGAATCCCAGAACACTTGATCGTTCTAATGCAAAACTTATACTTGGACCAGGAGGCAGTCGTCAGAACAGAGCAAGGGAACACTGCATGGTTCAAAATTGGGAAGGGCGTATGCCAGGGATGCATCCTATCTCCAACCTTTTCAACCTATATGCAGAACAGATTATCCAGGAGGCTGGGCTCTATGAGGAGAAATGTGGGGTCAAGATTGGTGGACGATTTATCAACAATCTGCATTATACAGATGACACAACCCTGCTTGCTGAAACTGAGGAGGACCTGAAGCGCCTGCTGCAGAGTGTCAAGGACTGCAGCCTACAATATGGATTGAGGCTCAATGTCAAGAAGACAAAGATTCTCACCACTGGCCCAATTGGCAGCATCAGGATGGATGGTGAAGAGATTGAGATTGTACACAGCTTTAGTTTGCTTGGCTCCATAGTCAACAGTCTTGGCACCAGCAACCAGGAAATTAAAAGGCGCATTGCCATGGGAAAGTCAGCTGTTAGGGACCTCTCCAAAGTGCTGAAGAGCAATGGTATCTCTTTGGAGACTAAGGTGCATCTGATGCAGGCCATGATCTTCGCAATCACCTGTTATGCATCAGAGAGTTGGACAATGACCAAGGAGGATATAAGGAGAATTGATGCCTTTGAGCTGTGGTGCTGGAGGAGAGTATTGAGAACAGATTTGTCCTGGAAAGGGTTAAACCGGGTGGCTTCTTGGAGGCAAGGATTCTGAGGCTCCGTCTAACATACTTTGGACATGTTGTGAGGAGAGACTGGTCCTTAGAGAGGGACATCGTGCTTGGGAGGGTGGAGGGACAGCGCAGGAGAGGAAGGCCCTCTATGAGGTGGATTGATTCAATGATTGGGATAATTGGAATAGGAGTGTCAGAGACAGTGCGATTGGCACAGGACAGAGCGGAGTTTAGGGCTGTTGTACATAGGGTCGCTATGAGTCGCAGGCGACTCGACGGCACATAACAACAACACATTTTAGCAAGTAAGAATTTTCCTTCCTTCCCTAAGAGCTCTTGAAGGGTGTTTATTCCATGTTGCCTAATATACTTAACGTTGTTGTTTTGGTTTTTTTTTTAGGTTGAGAATTTACCTTATTTTGTTATTCAACAGTTTCATAACTATTCTGTATTTCTTATAGATTTTTAGAAGACTTTTTGTGTTGTGATTTTAGTGAATGTTTACAGAAAGGATAAGTTTTCATTTATTCCCTAAATATTAAAGAGCAATGGTGTCACTTTGGAGACTAAGGTGCATCTGATCCAGGCCATGGTCTTTGCAATCACTTGCTATGCATCAGAGAGCTTGACAATGACTAGGGAGGACTGAAGGAGAATTGATGTCTTTGAGCTGAGGTGTTATAGGAGAGTATTGAATAAGCCACACACTGCTAAGGAAATGAATACGTTCATCTTAGAGAGGGTTAAACCAGGCTGCTCCTTGAGGCAAGAATTCTGAAGCTTAGTCTGACATATTTTGGACATGTTTCAAGGAGGGACCAATCCTTGGAGAAGGATGTCATGCTTGGGAGAGTGAAGGGACAACACAGGAGAGGAAGACCCTCTATGAGATGGATTGATTCAGTGACTCAGGTAATCTGGGTAGGTGTGTCAGAAACAGTGAGATTTGCACAGGATAGAGCAGGGTTTAGGGTTGTTGTACATACGGTCACTATGAGTCGCAGGTGACTTGATGGCACATAACCACAACAACAAACCCAAAATATCATTATATTGCTGGAGAGTGTAGCTCTGTGTGAAAACAAAATGTGCTTGCTTAAATTAAACCAACTTACTTTCCAGATCCTAGGTAATGAATAATGAGCCAGCAAAGAAAATCTTAAGAGCAAGGGGTAACTAGGAAGATTTAAAAAACAAACAAACAAAAAACCAAAAACAAACAACACAAGAAAGAACAGCTGAGCAGACTATGCCTGATTTATACATCCAATTCCCTTTCTCAGAGAGATAGGGGCAAGTGAAGAGATGATTAGAAGTCAGAAATGAAGAATTAGGAAAAAATACTCCTCCTTAACAGATGTAGCATTTTCCAAGTGCTTGCCATGTTTTGAATTCTGGCAAGTCAGTCTGTAACTCATATATAGAAAATTACTTTAGTCCATTACTTCCTTTTTTTCTTTTTAATAAATTTTTTATTTTAATTGTGATTTTAATGAAAGTTTACAGAAAATTAGATTTTCATTCATTGTTGCACATTTTCACCCCACCTCCCTCCCTCCTTTCTCTGGGGGTGGGGGTGAGGCTGGGCGGGGAGAAAAGTGCAACAATGAATGAATGGAAATCTAAAAATCTCTGTAAATGTTCCTTAAAATTAATAGTAATTTAAAAAAAGGGGGGGAAAGCCCAAATCCTACAGATGTCCAAAATGAAGTGGACACTTTATAAAAGCAGATTTAGATTTAAGTGAACATTGAGAGAATGGGTAATATCAATAAAGAATAAACAATAGAAAGATTTAAAAATATAGTCCATTACTTTCTTACAATAGCTCATAAGTGCAAAATAGTAATTATTCCAACCTAATGTTATATTTATTCTATTTGCAGTGGTGCTCTTGATGCTCATAGAAATTTTGGAGATATAAACACCCCTGAATGTCTGCACGTACGTTGTCAAGGACTGGAGACAAGTCTGGCTGAATGTACTTTTACTGAGAACAGAGCTGTTGAGTCCCAGGGTGTAGCTGGTGTGGTGTGTTACATTCCAAACACTTCAGGTTGGTAGGATACTTTCATATGTCTGATTATTTATCTTGCCATTCCTACTTTATTTTCATTCACATATGATAATTTCTATTTTTTCCTTCCTTCAAAATAATTTATTTCAAAGCAAGCCAATAGTATAATAGTATGATTGGCATTCATTTGCAGCTATAAAAGGCAGGGTAGGCTCCCTGACATATTGTAAATTTTAGAGATTATTTTTGGTACTTCCTTCTTCTTGTACGTTTTACCAACAAGTAATCCTGCTTTCCAGAGTTTTCTGTTTGAAGTCATAATACTCGTGACTTCTATAAGGTGGATATAATGACAGTGGCACAGGATAGGACAAGATTTCCATCTGTTGCTGACTGGATTACTATGAGTCATAATGACATCTAACAATAGATGATAAATTCCCCGACTCCCCATTTCCTCTCACACATCTGAATTAAAGTCAGTATACCAGTTAAGCATCAGAAGAAACCTTTGAAGAGGCCTAGGTTATATACATTCTTATGAACTTTTGTTTTTTGAACTTTTTTTTGGTTTTTTTTTTTAACTTTTGTTTTTTAATTTGGGAATACTAGAACACTTGATCGTGCTAATGCGAAAACTATACTTGGATCAAGAGGCAGTCGTCAGAACAGAGCAAGGAAACACTGCATGGCTCAAAATTGGGAAGGGAATATGCCAGGGATGTGTTGTCTCCATACCTTTTCAACCTGTATGCAGAGCAGATTATCTGGGAGGCTGGGCTCTATGAAGAGAAGTGTGGCATCAGGATTGGTGAAAGATCTATCAACAATGTGCATTATGCAGATGACACAACCCTGCTTGCTGAAACTGAGGAGGACCTGAAGCACCTGCTGCAGAGGGTCAAGGACTATAGCCTTCAATATGGATTGAGACTCAATATCAAGAAGACAAAGATTCTCATCACTGGACCAATTGGCAGCATCAGGATGGATGGTGAAGAGATTGAGATTGTTCACAGCTTTAGTTTGCTTGGCTCCGCAGTCAACACTCTTGGCACCAGTATCCAGGAATTTAAAAGATATATTATGATGGGGAAGTTTGCTGTTAGGGACCTCGCCAAAGTACTGAAGAGTAATGGTGTCTCTCTGGAGGTGTTCTGATACAGGCCATGGTCTTTGCAGTCACTTATGCGTTAGAGAGTTGGACAATGACTAGGGAGGATAGAAGGAGAATGATGCCATTGAGATGTGGTGCTGGAGAAGAGTATTGAGTGTACCATGGACTGCTAAGAAAATGAACAGGTTCATCCTGGAGAGGGTTCAACTGAGGTGCTCCTTGGAGGCAAGGATTCTGGGGCTTCGTCTGACATACTTTGGACATATTGTAAGGAGGGACTGGTCCTTGGAGTGGAACATCATGCTTGGGAGTGTGGAGGGACAGTACAGAAGGGGAAGGCTCTCTATGAGGTGGATTGATTCAGTGACTGGGGTAATCGGGATGGGTGTATTGGAGAAAGTGCGATTGGCACAGGATAGAGCAGGGTTTAGTGCTGTTGTACATAGGGTCGCTATGAGTTGCAAGTGACTCAACAGCACATAACAACAACAACAACAATTGCTTTGCATAAAAAATTCATATACATTATGCTTCACACTTTCTTGCATTCACATTCTATATCATACAATCATTCTCATACATTATGTTTTATAAAATGAATCACATTTCAACTGTGCTAACCAATACCCCACCTTTCAGGTCCTCTCTAGATCTTGCCCATTTCCTTCACCTCCCACTCTGCCCACCAACTTCACAACCTCATGATTTCCTCCTGCCCGTCTTCAACGTTCTGCTCCCCACCCCCTTCCTCCCTTGGACCTTCATACACATTTTACTAGTTATCCTTCTATTTTTAAAAAAATTCTCTTGTGCAGTATTTGTCCTTATGAGACTAAGTTAGTTTACTCAGAATAATGCTCTCCAGTCTCTCCCATGTTATGTAATATTTTTTGCAATTGTTGCTTCTGAGTGCTGCGTAGTATTCCATCTAGCATGTGAATGTACCACAATTTCTCAATCCATTCTTTTGTTGTTGGATATTTGGCCCGTTTCTATGTCCTTGCAATTGTGAATAACACAGACATGAACATCGGTGTACAAATCTTTGTTTGTGTCTCAGTTCTAATTTCCTTGAGGTGGATTCCAACTGCCACCAAATAGTGGTAAGCCACCAGGGGTCCTTCTAATAGTCATTAAAGCGGTGACTTAAAACCACATGAAATACCACACCACCTCCATGGGGATCGCTGATGCTAGGTGCCACCTAGTCAATGAGGGCACAAAGTAAGGGGTGCGGATTAATGTAGAGCATGAAAGGATGAGAACCAGTCTTTGCTAAGGTCGGGCAAGAGCTCATGATTCCTGAACCTCCCATCTCGGCGAATGGACAAGTCCACAAAGAACACTGATGCTCAAGGGTAGTGAAAGAGTCTCAATAAGGCAGCTTTGACAATTTCTTTTCCTTATTACCCAGACATACTGTGTTGCTAAATCAAAGCAAATCCATTGCTGTAAAGTACGTTCTGATGCATAGTCGCCCTATAGGAAAGATTAAAACTACCTGTGGGACTTTAGGATTGGACATCTTTATGGAAGCACACTCCCACATCTTTCTCTCATGGAGCAGCTGGTGTGTTCAAACCACAGACCTTTCTGGTTAGCAGCCAAGTATTTTAACCACTCTGCCCCCAGAAGTCCTTTCTGTGTTATATTTTATGTCGTTTTTTTATTTGATGTCTGACTTCATGTGTCTGAATCATCCCATCATTCAGAAAACGTGTTAAGTGAATCATGCTGTGAAAATGTTAATGGTAACCACAAAACCGTGAGTAAATTTCATAATTCCTTCTGTACAGATCCTCCAGCAGAGGATTCCTTTCACTGTGTGAATGGGAAATACATTTCTCAGAAGAAGGCCTGTGATGGAGCCAATGACTGTGGAGACCAAAGTGATGAGCTGTGCTGTAAAGGTAGAGATAAATGTTATCTCTAAATGCCCTAAATGTGGTTTTCTTACTGAATAAAGTGTAAGTAACATTACCATTGTGTTTTAGGATTTCATCTCCTTCAGTTTTAAGAAATTCATGCACCTGCTTCTGTTTGTTTTCACAGCATGTCGAGGTGAAAGTTTCCCCTGTAAATCTGGAGTTTGTATTCCAAAGGAGAATAAATGCAACGGGGAGTTAGACTGCATCACAGGAGAAGATGAAATTGGCTGTGAAGGTAATTGAAAGTGTTCTGGTTAAATTCTTTTTCACTAGCCAATGAAAAATTGAGAAATAGTTTCTTCTTGCTGTTAGGTGCTGTCGAGTTGAGTAAGACTAATAGTGAGCCTGACAGCAACAGATCTGAACTCTGTCCTAGCCTGTGGCATCCTCATCATCTTTGACACACTTTGACACACTGCAGCACATTGCATCAGTCATTGTGTCAATCCATCTTGTTGAGGGTCTTTCTCTTTTTCACTGACCCTCCACATTTCCAAGTAAGATGCTCCTCTACAAAGTATAGCCTCTTCTAGCAGCAAATCCTAAGCCCATGAGTTGATGCTTTGTCAACTTTGCCTCCAAGGAACACTCTGATTGTACTTTCTCCAAGACACATTTGCTTGTTCCTTTGGTTGTCCATAGGACGTTCAGTACTCATCTTCCACCCCACAGCTCAAAGGCATCAATTCTTCTGCTATTGTCCCTATTCATAGTCCAGCTCTCAGATGCATAGCAAGTGACTGAAAAGACCATGGCCTGGATCAGGTACACCTTAGCCTTCAAACTGACATCACTGCTCCAGACTTTTCCAATGCAGTACATCTCTTGATCTTCTGATCAAGGGTGTTGATTGTGGATCCAAATAAAATGAAGTTGTTCACAGTTTCAATTTTTTTCTCTTATTATGATATTTCCAATTGGCCCAATGGTGAGATTTCTGTTTTCTTGACATTGAGATATAATGCATATTGAAGGCTGTAGTCTTTGCTCTTCTGCAGCAAATGCTTCAAGTCCTCCTCACTTTCAGTGAGCAAAGTTGTGTCATCTGCATAATGCAGGTTGATGATGAGTCTTTCTCTAATCCTGATGCCACAATCATCTTCACAGAGTTCATCTTCTCCAATAATTTGCTCAGATTATATATTTAATAGGTATGGAAAGAGGGTACAACCCTGACGTAATCCTTTCTTACTTTCAAGCCATGTAGTGTTCCCCTAGGTATGGAATGGTACGGTATGGTATGGTATGGTATGGTACGGTACGGTACGGTACGGTACGGTATGGTATGGTATGGTATGGTATGGTTTGACAAATGGTTAGGTATGGGTGACTGCCGCAGTGAGCTCTAATGTGTCAAGAAGTATGATGGCACAAGATAGGGCGGGGTTCAGATCTGTTGTTCATAGCGTCACTATGGGTTGTACACAACTCCACAGCACCACAACAGTGTTGCCTTGCTTTGTTCATACAATAGCCTCTTGGTCTAGGTATAAATTTTTCAGTAGCATAATTAAGTGTTCTGGAATTCCCATTATTCTCAATGTTAGTCATAATTTGTTATGATCCACACAGTCAAAGGCCTTTCCATAGTCAACAAAGCACAAATAGACAATATTCTGGTTTTCTCTGCTTTCAAAGAGGATCCATTTGACATCACCAATCATACCCTCAGTGCCATGGCTTCTTTAAAACTCAGCTTATCTGGTGGCCTAGTGGCAAGGAGCTGCAACTACAATCCCAGAGGTGCAAGGCTTGAATCCACCAGATGCTCTGCCAGGGAAGGAGGGACAATCTCCTCCTGTACCAGTCAGATCTGATTTGACGATACACTCACACAAAAATAATAATAAAATTTAAAAAAGTTTAAAAAAACCCTCAGCTTAAACTTTTGGCAGTTCTCTGTGTATGCACCTTTCAAGCAATTTTGGATAATCTTCTGCAAGATTTTGCTTGCATGTATATTAATTACATTGTTCAATAATTTTCACATTCTTTTGCATCACTTTTCTTGGGAGTGGAAACAAATACGGATCTTTTTCTGTCAGTCAACCAGGCAGCTGTCCTCCACATTTCCTGGCATTCACTGATGAGCATGTCCAAGCTGCATGTGTTAATTGAAACATGTCAATTGGCATCTCATCAATTCCTGAGGCCTTATTTTTCTTTGCCTGTGCCTTCAGTGCAGCTTGAAGTTCATTCATCACCACTGACTCTTGATCATATAATACTTCCTGAAATATTTCAGTGTCATCAATTCTTTTTGGGTACCATGATTCTGTGTATTCCCTCCATCTTCTTTTGATGCTTCCTGGATCATGCAAGATTTTGTCCATAACATCCCTCTGAATCACAACTGGCGACTTGAATTTGTTTTTCAGTTCTTTCAACTTGAGAACACTAAGTGAGTTTTCCCTTTTTTCTTCTCCAGTTCCAGCTCTCTGCATTTTCCATTATAATACTTTGCTTTGTCTTCTCAAACTCTCCTTTGAAATCTTCTGGTCAAGGCATTTACTTTTGCATCTTTTTCCTTTGTTTTGGATTCTTGATGCTCTAGTGCAAGTTCTAGAGTCTCTTCTGACCTCTATTTCTGTTTTTCTTTCTCCTGTCTTTGTAATGATCTTTTGCTCTCTTCATGGATGGTAATCCTGGATGTCATCCCAAAATTCCAGCAAACAAGCCAAATGAGAAGTCAATCAAAATAAGGAGAAACATCTTGTTGTTAGGTCCTGCCAAGTTGAGTACAATTCATAGTGACACTACAAACAAAAAACCTGAACCTTTAGGTAAACCTTAATTTTTAGTGATCACTGGAAGATATAACAGAAAGAGTACCACTGGATGGACATTTGAGGAACTATGCAAAGTTTATCTCCTTAGATCTTAACTTACTAGATACTTATTGTAGAAGTTTTCTTTAGAAAAATATTTTCACATATATCAAAATTAATGTGTGTATAGAATGAGTTCATATGTATTAATTTACTACTTGTAACAGTTATTATTATTTGCTTATCTTATTCTTCTATCTTCTAGCTTACTTGCTTTTTAGCTTGTTTACTGGAGTATTTGAAAGCAAATTCGGGAAGCATGTCCATTTACTTACAGATGCACAAATTATTAATGGTAAAGGGAGTTTATATTTGTCATTGTTGCTGGAACCAACCTATAGCTGACCCTCTGGTGGGTTTTCAGAGGCAGTATATGTATGTATACATGTTGTTATATGCCGTTGACAGAACTGATTCATAGCTGACACTGCAATAGATTTTCAGAGGCTGAAAATCGCATATTAGGAGATTGCCCATCTTTCTCTCAAGGAATTGGATTCAAATTGTCTGCTTTTGGGTTGGCAGCATAACCCCTTACCACTTGATCATTGGAGGACTTTCCATATGTAAGTGCACACACATATATGCAACAACTCCGGTGGCCTAGTCCATAGGTAGTTACACTAATAACCCAAGGAGGTGCACTTCTTCGGTGGTTCAAATCCATCACTGGCTTTGCAGGAGAAAAATAGTCAACTTCTTCCCATGTGATTTACAGCCTTGGAAACCCATTGGAGAGTCAGCTATATGTTGGTTGAAACTTGACAACAATGAATATGAGGTTTATATGTGTGTGCATATACATATACACACATATACATATATATGTAATACTTATAAATACAAATGTTTATATATATATATAAATAATCTCATTGTTATAAACGAAAACTCATTACAGTTAATTCTAACTTGTATCAACACTATAAGACAAGAGTAGAATAGTCATATATGGCTTTCAAGAGTGTAAATCTTTATAGATGCAAAGGGCAACATCTTTCTTCTATTGAGAGCCTGGTAAGTTAGAGCCACTTACACTTCAGTTAGCAGTTAAACACTTTTACCACTGCACTACCTAGGCTCCTATTCCTGACTTTAGTACACTCACTCAGGGACTTAAGATATTGAATCTAAATACTTGGTAGACTTTATGGGGAATGTATGGGATTGAGGAACATGTTAACATCTCAAGAAGATTTAGCCAAATCCAGAATAAGGACTCACGTGATTCAGAAGACAGGCAGTAGGAAGTAGCTAAGAGAATACGCCATCCCCTTTTCCTTATGAATCAGGGTGAAGTCTCTCTCAGGGAGGAGTGATAGGGAATGGCAAGGGACACACTGACAAAGGAGATTAATCAGAACTGGCTTTGACAAGCACTGTGGCAATTGGACAATTAAAACAGACATGGTGGGGGAAAGAAGAACGAACTGGGGAGGAGGGTGGAGAAAACAGTGCAACAATGAATGAATGAAAACCCAAAATCTCTGTAAATGTTCATTAAAACTAATAACATTTAATAAAAACAAAAAGAAGACAGGCAGTGAAACACCAAGAAAGACCGATCTAGTAAGCTGGAAGCACACTCCCATGACTCAGTCATATATATATAACTCCAAATAAAATAATACAAAGACAACAAAACCACAATGCCTCAGAGGCAACAGATGGCATTGTTGTTCTTGTGTGTACCATTGACTCAGAACCAACCTATAGCTGATCCTTGAGTAGGTTTTCAGAGGCATTAAATTGCACAGGAGAAAATTGTCCATCCTGCCATTAAGGAGTTGGTGGATTTGAACTTTGTGCTTTTGGGATTACATTGTAGCTTTTTACTACTAGACCACCAAAACACCCTAGAGTAGCTGTAGACTAGTCAAAAAAAATCAGGATAAGATAGCACCAAAACACTGACCCAAGTGTAGAACCAGAAAGTCTTGAAACGTCATGATAGCAATTCAAAAGAATAATATTAAGTGTCTTCTACAGATTGAGAAAAATATAGACTTAAAACAAAAACAAACCCTAACAATGCAAGACAAAACAGATAAAAGAAATGGAAAGTTACAAACCATGAAGAAATAAAAAATTGGAATTCATATTTAAGACTGAAATTTCAGAAGGGAGCTCTGATGGTTTAGTAGGTAACCCAAAGGTGTCAACTCTTTGGTGGCATGAATCCACCAGCAGCTCTGTGGGATAAAGATGGGCAGTCTCCTCTGTTGGGATTTATGGTCTCTGAAAACCTACCGGCTTATTAGCCATAACTCAGTTCTCACTTGACACCAAAGGAGAGAGAAAGAGGAAATTTCAGAAATAGATAACATATTGGAAATGAAACACAAAAATCAATTAATTAGAGGACAGATCCTTAAATACTTATGAGTAAAAATATTTTCATGTTCATTATATTTTGTTCAATCCTTTCTAAAGGAAAAGGGAAAAAATATTTTCAAGAAATGTGGTAAATAATGACTTTTGTTACACTCCTTCTAAAAAATGTTACTAATTCTTACCCCACTCCTGATTCTACATGATCTTCCTCCTGACTCAAAGGTTAACATTTAAAGCTAAAGAATATTAATCTTAATAAATCAGAAAAAAATAATCCCATTTTTAAGAAATTAACTACTCTCATTTTCCATCTATTTCTTGGATCCATATATAAAATACACTCAGTCAGTTGTCGTTATTAAGTATACCCTTATGTAAGGGAGCTCTGGTGACCTAGTGGCAAGAAGCTGCGCTGCAGTCCTGAAGACATGCAGTTTGAGGCCACCAGCTGCACCTTAGGAGAAGGAGGGGCAATCTCCTCACATGCAGTTGACTAACTCTGAAAATGCCCCTGAGGGTCAGCTGTGGGTTGGTCTGACTCTATGATACACAACAACACTTCTGGAAGAGAAGCTCTATCTAAGGGCGGGCAGGGAGCAAGCTTTATTTGCATAGTGGTTAAACACTAGGCTGCTAACTGAAAGGTTGGCAGTTCTAACTTGCCATCTGCTCACAGGGAGAAAGAGGTGACCATCTGCTTCCTTAAACTTTCACAACTCTGGAAACCCTATGAGGCAGTTCTTCTCTGTCCTACAGAGTAACTATGACTCCAAATCCATAGCAATGGGTTTGGTTTGGGTTTAAAGGAGGGCAAGTGAGAACAGAGAGGTAAAATGAATATATTCATATATTCACTGATCTTTCTTTTAGTGGCCAGGCCAGAATAACTAAATCCAAATTAAAGAGCAGTTTGAATTATATCTTGATTTAATTTCTCTTTGATAAGCCCCCCCCCCATTTAGTGACAGGAGTTAAAAATGTTTGTAAATTTTGCATAACTGTATAATAAGCTTCCTGTTGGATAGGTCTTAAAATATATCTAAAAGACT